TAATTTCATGCTCTCTTTGGAATGAATTTCGAAGTAGCGTTGTGCATCTGTTTATAAGAAGAACTTTAAGACAGGTGGCACTTGAAATATACAAAACTGTAACCCGTTTCAGAAGAAAAAGTTTAGTGAATAAGTATAAGGCTGTTTATTGTGCTTTTTGTAAAATATTTGTTCCATTGAACAAAATTTCCCTATAAACCTGTATGGGGAAAAAATCCTCAAAATATCTGATGTTTCACTTGTACGAACACTGACTTTCTGTTTACTTATGCAGCTGTGTCCAGTTCTGCCTATATTCTCAGTAAATGTTGATACTTCAGTGATGCGGTACTTTCCAGGCAGACTATTCTATTTAATTTTATATTATAAAGGGAAAACAAGATGTTATAGAATTTTTTCATAATAAAGCTTCATGATAATGAAGTTATCATGATTCATAATAAACTTCAGTGAACTTGGACTTCTATGTTGAAGCCACGTGTTTAAAAATGATTTCCATATTAATAGAAATTTAGCTTATGAATACCTTCTTGATGCCTAGCTCACAATTCTCCTCCCCATCCCCTGCCAAACATAATGAAAATATTAGGTAGGTGGCTTTTGACAAAAGTTAGTGTAGATGGGAAGGAGTACAAAAACAGAGATCCAGGCAGCTGTTTATAGTGAGTGTGCTGAAGTCCAGACTTGCTTGTTTCCAAATAAGTATTTCTAGCTTATTGAACTGTCTGTGGTTCACCTGTGTCTGTGGAAACTGGATGCGATTCTATTCGTTGCTGGGAGATCTGAGAGGCAGAGATAAGGCTGCTTGGTTTTAAATTTTAAAAAGATAATTAAAAAAAAACCCCTATAAGTATGTAACGTAACTTACTAAAACATGCATGCACACACCATCCTGCGCTCATGGAGAATGTTGCGCTCCCTAGGGCTTACTGGGAATAGGTGGTGCTGCTTGCCTCTAAATTTTTAATAGCTTTCAGTCCCAGCCGAACCAAACCTGATTTGTTTTTCTGACGTTCCGCTCAATGACATTGTCCTACTTTGTCGGCTCAGCCCATACAATGCTAGAATTCATCTAGAACGCTCCCAAGAGTCTTGTGCTTCTCTTTTCCTCAGTTGATATAGATAGTCGATACGATGTCAAAAGAAACTAGCAGTGCAGCAAGAAGTAGACAGAGCTGTTCCCATCTTATTAAGGGATCTAAGCTACAGCTACTCTGAAACTTCTGTGCATTTAAAAAAAAAAAAAAAAAAGGTATGTATGACTACATTTCTGCTTGTGCTATGACCAGCAGAAGCAAAGTGGCAGGAGCACCACAAACTTTCCCAAATGCTTACATACAGAGGAGATGACAGATGGTAGTAGGTTTGCCAAACTTTCATTCTTATTTAGCTTTGGAATATATGTGAAAAGTAGTATTCTGTGTTCTTAATAAGGTACAGGATTTGAGACTAATATGGGCAGTTCTATATAGAGCCAGGCAGACCTGCATTTTTTTTTTTAATATGCAGAAGCAATGGTATAGAGAACATTCTGTTTCTCTGTACTTTCTTGTTTCTGATATTGATGGATAGGAACATGTTTGTTCTCTCTGCAGATGTTAGATGGAAGTTTTAAAATAAAAAGTAGAGTGTAAAAAAAAAAAAAAAAAGAGTTCCAGGGTAATCTATTTTGATGACTTGGTGATGTTTTTATGTTTATTTTATAAGCTTTACCACTTTGAATAGATTCTAGACTGGGATTCCTTAAGGAGTGGTGAGATTTGGACTCAACTGAAATTCAGTGGGACCTGATTATCTGACTTCATTTCATTAGTTTGAAGTTCCTATCCAAAGTGTATAAGACAGTAATACCTGGTCTCTACCCTACAGCTGTGCAGTCAAATGGAAAGTGGCACTGCAGTGAGGCAGGTGTAGTTACCTAAAATCAGATGACAAATCAACAATATGTCAAGGTATCCCAGTAACATTGATCAATTGGAGTAAGTATAATGCAGGATTAAAATATAGCTACCATTTAATACTTTATTTTCTTGTTGCTTGAAGGAGTGTTTTTCTACATGTAGTAGAGTATATAATGCATATCTGATCACAGAAATGTTCAGATTTTATGAGAATAGCCTTCAGTCTCATGCACATTTATAGCAGCATACTGTGGGGCCTTTATGGCGGTTTTAGGTATGTTTTGATATATACATTTTTAAATTGCTGCCCAAATTAAATACATATTTTCTATGTAAAGCCACTGTAACTTAAGATTTTTAATTTTGTGAGTTAGATACAAGTATGTGCACCGAAACATGTATGTATTTGAGCACATATTATTTTTTACAGGAAAAAAAGTTTTCCTCAAAATAGATTCTTTAGAAATTAAAAGCAAAGCTGTATACATCAAAGATGCGTTACTATTTGCAAATCATATTCATGTAACAGTTGCTGCCCTGTCAAAATAGACATTTGTAATGAAGGGATGTTGTTCCTTTTCTATTTGTTAGAAAATAGTTTCAGTACCAAATAATATCAGAGCTTCAAATTATCTGGACTTGTTTCAGAAGATGTCACAGAAACTGTGGCTACTGGCTAGCACATTTTCAATAGTTCTTATGGGTTCCCTTTCGAATGTTGCCTGACAGGTTTAATTGTGGCTTTTATTCCTTCTGAGGAAGGCAGTCTACAATTCCATGTAGCTTCACACTGATTAATTGAAACAGGATTATGCTCTGTTTTTGTTTGGAGCACAACTTGGTAGTTGTTTCAGCTCTTGTTGGGATTAATGCTCTTTAATCATTGATTTCCTACTGAACAGATAAACAACAGATTTGTCTATGTAATGTCACTTAAATATGAGTATGAACTAGTACTCTATATACCATCAGTTTGGGACATAAAACTCTGAAGACTCGATCTAGGATTCCATTTAGATTGCTAGTAAAGATTAAAACTTCCATCTTGATCAACTTCTATCTTGACCTAAGCTTTGTTCTACAAATTATCTTGCGAAATAATACTGCAGATAATTACATTTCCTACAGCTGTTTTCTTTAAAGATTATCCAAATGCATTAGTGCACCTGTAAAACTAAATAAAATTAAGTTAAATATGCTGCAACTAATATACATTTCCTTACTTAACGAGATAAAATACAGCAGACGATAGGAATGGAAAACTAGTGCATTCTGGCTCTAGATGAAAATGCTGCTATTGAATGTTTTCCAGAACAACATGTACTTGGATCAGTATTAAAGAGAAGTATTGTGAATGTCTAAGCCAAATGACCTAGCACATTGATAGTGTGGAGCATGTTTCACAGTTATATAGATTTCTAAACTGTTTTTCGGTCCATAAAACAAGTAAATTAGAATTTAAGCTAAAAACAAAGGAAACCTGGCTTTAGTTTTTTGTTCCGGTTTCTGGAACTGACTCCAGTAGCTCAGTACTGTTATATTACTGTTGCAGAGAAACACTCTTAAGTCTTTAGGAATCAGGACTTTAGGAAACAAGATATGTGAAACGGTATTCGATTTTACGTTAAAGAACCCCTGAAAGCTGCATCATTACACTTGGTGTGCCTTTAGGTAAAAATGGCAATAGGCTCCCACTTCATTTCAGTCCTTCAGGTTAAAGTAGTATTTATCAATGAATAGATTTTTTTCCCTTTGATTTATAATGAATGCAGATATAGAAGAGCATTGCGAATGTTTGCAAGAGTGAAGTATTTTTCAAAGACACAAAAAAGAGCCTATTGTTTCATTTCTGCTTTCATTTTCTTTATCTGCATCTTCTGTACTGTTTTGCTTGTTTTCATTTCCTTTCTTGTCAACCACTATTTTTGCTCTGCAATGATGCGTGCAGCAGTTTATTGAAGACTGTTTTAGTCTGTATGAATCAGTTAAGACTCTTGTGGAAAAAGTTAAGTACTTTTGTCACTAATAAAACCAAAAATTTAAATTTCATATCCTTTTTTATAAAGGAGGTTGGTTAATAAATGGACAGTATCAATTTCAATAGGTGATCTTAAGCATGCATTGTGTATTTTAATGCTAGTTTTTATAAATCATTATCTGTAGCTAGAAATGTTTTTTGTATATGTCTTCTTTTTCATATATTCCAGGATGAAAAATGGATTAACGTAAGAGTCGGTGGCCTCATTAAACCTGGAAAATCAGTTTGTAGCTGTAAGTGATTTGAATATTTTTCTATAAAATGCATATTCAAAAAAAAAAAAAGAGACTGGAATAACTTTTGGTTTTCTTTATCTCTGTGTATTAGAGATACACTCTCTTCTGTAGTGTTTTTTGCAAAATAATGATATTGTGATCAAAGACAAACACAATCTGAGAAAAATTTAAGGTCCTGCAGTTTAAGGTCCTATACAGTTATATAGAAGACTTGTTAGTTTGTACAGTAGGTCCTTAAAGAAGTAACAAAATGCTAAAAATAAAATTGAGACTTCAGTTCTATTTGCAAACATTGGTCTATATTAAAACACATTTATTAATATACAGTTATATTTATGTTCAAAGGCATACATATTTCCATTGTACTTATCAGTCTCTGGTTTAGTAAACTGGTATCACTGTTGCCATTATTTTTGGCTGCATCTTTAGACTAGACAAGTGTTCATTTATTGTCATATAGTAATTTAGAATTTAATTGAAAGCAGTGTAAATTTCCTTCCGAAATAGAGGATTTTCTATTATATTTCAAGGCATAAGCACAGTCAAGCATTGGCACAATCTGCCCAAAGAGGTTTTTAAGAACTGATTGGATAAAGCCCTGAAAAACTTGGTCTGATCTTATAGCTAGCTGATCCTACTTTGAACAGGTGGTTGGACAAGAGACCTTTTGCAACCTGAATTTTTCTGCGATCAGATAAATTTTCTACTGTCTGATTGTTTTATGCCTTTTTTTTCTTTGGTTTGTCAGAGCTTGACAGAGATGACCAAGTTTATTTTCATTTTTACAGGCTGATCTGTATCTATCTATCTTCTATCAGTTAACCACATGGTTTTTGTTATATTGAAACTGTTCAACTTGATGAATAAAATTGAATTTGTATTAAATTTGAAAGTGCAGTATGCTTGTGTATATTGCATTTAGATTGATCAAAACATGTTTATACTATCCTTCAAGTGACCTTTGTGCATTGCCACTTTTTCAGATGAGGTTGTACAACAAATCGATAGGATAAAAGGCAATATTTCAGGAACCTGATATTACACTCCCCTTTTTTTTAAGTGCTAAAAGACACCTTCATCTTAAATACTGTGCACTACATTAATATAAAAAAAAAAAAGGGCTGATATTTTAAAGTAACTAGTTAATTATTTTTTTGCTTAAAGCTGATACTAAAAAGGATTACTCACTGGTACCTGAGAACACCAAGTAGCATTTAGTTACCTTCATGAGAAGGCTCCTTTCTCACTAAAAAAAAAAAAATTAGCAAAATCCAAATGACTTAAGCTGAGAGAATGATTCACGAAAGAATCACTGGAGTGTACCTCTTCTCTCTCCTATCCCTGTATTTCAATGATATTAATAAAATAAAAATGAAAGATTAATAAAGATAGGTGTGCTTCAAAGACAGCTGCTGGTTTGTAGAATTTACCAATATATAGGAATTTATTCACAGATACTCTGAGACTAAAATTCGAAAATATGATCTAGAGTTTCAGTTATTTGGCTCTTTGTAACTGCATTTACAAGCAAAATAAAACCTGTGCTGCTTCAGCCTGTCTACTGAGATATTCAGTGTTGCTACAGTCAGACAGGAGGTGAAGGAGAGGACTGGAATTTGAGACTACCACAATTCTTTATATAGGCTATCCCTCGAAATATTCAGCACAGGAAGGAAAAAAACAAAACGATGTGAGAGCGCTCCGCAGGGGGTTCTGATTAAGTGTTACCATGTATGAGCAGCATGCAAAGAGTAGGAATGTGTAGATCTTACCTTAAACTCTGACTTGCTGCAGTCAAACTCTATTTATAATACACAATTTGTAGTCTTTCCTAAATTATTTATTAACCTATTTGTGAAAGACATATCTATCAAATGCAATTGCAGTTTTAAGTACTTATTATGCCAATAGGCAAGGCTGATGCTGTTTACTATAATATAGTATAGTTCTGAAACAAGTCACATTTTTGTGTGTGCGCTCAGATATGTGATGACAAATTGTGGTACAGGAGCCTAAAATGATTGATGTGAGCCATAACTGAAATAAACTGCCTAATGAAAAAAAATTCTTCCCTTTGAAATATGAAAACAATCCACAAGCCTTCCCTCCCGTTTGTGGTATATCTAGCTGTATTAATCTTTCATACCTTTTTCCAAATACATTTGCACAGTATTTTGCTAGGAATAGTATCTTTAACCATATGTGCATCTAAATCATAATTTTTCTATTTAGAAGAATAATACTCTTAAATAATGTCATTTTGAACAGACAAGAACAATATTGCCATAGGAAGAAGAAAATGTAGAGGAATTTGGCATGAACTTAACATAAAACCAGAATCATTATTTTACTTTTTTTTTTTAAACAAAATCTTGGTATCAGTATTTGTGCTGAAAGCTATGTGCATATACTTGTACGAGATGCATCGTTCCAGTTCAGTAATGAATCCTTAAACTAGGTTATTTTTCTTTTAAAAGACAGTTGTAGAGGATGTATCCCAAGTATTAGATGTGTTTAATTGGCTCTAGGAGACTATTTCCAGAGCATTTCACTTTCTGATTTTTCTACAGGAGGATATTTCAGTGTAGGAACAGTGGCAGATGTAAATGCTCAGAAATGCTGTCAATAAGGCCACTTCTCAGGTGTCTGCATAAAATCATTTAAGTTTGGAAAACATTGTCCCCGATAGGCAATTTCATATTTAATTGAGAGATGATTTTCAAAGGAATGATTTCAATTCTTTTGCTTTTTTTTTCTGATTTATTTTCAGATATTGCAAAGTTTGGTTATATTTTCAGGGGGGAAAAAAAATTCCATAATTTGAAAGCAGCTTTTACTGTGGTATAATGTTCAGCTGGTGAGTACTCTGCCTTTCCTTTTGCAATTGGTAGATAACACTTCGGAATTGAATGGGCTGTGACTAAACTATTTTTATTATATACTCTGTTCAAAGCAATGAGTTATTTACACAGATGTACAACCATTCTGATGGCAGTTTTGTTTAAAAATCCTTCCCACAAGCCAGCGTCAATTGTGAATGTGTTCTCTAGAATAATAATGGAGCTGTAAATGTCTAAGTGGTCGTCTTTATTTTTTAATCCCAATATGGTGCCCCTGTAATAAATTCAGCTGTTAAATAATGGCGTGCTAAATATGGCGTGTCAGGGATGAGAGGTAAAATTAGAGTGCATTAAAGTAAATCTTTTCATAAAGGTCACGCTGTTAATTTGCAGTGAAAGTAGCTTAAAAGTACATCAGACTTCACCTGTTACTTCTGAACTTGGAGCCATTATTAGCAGGCTTGCAGTATTTGATTGTAAGTAGTGATAAAATTAATATAAATAGGTATACGATATACCTCCTACTGTTCAATTGCAACTTTAAAATATTCCTAGTCCTATTTATGGCTCTTGCACCAGTACTCTGACCCTGAAGGCCCTCCTTCTCATCTTTCCCCAAAACATGTCTGCTTTTAAGTGGGAAATGCAAAAGCTAGATTGATGATTTTTATTGGCTAGTAGTTTCCTTTGAGTCCCTTTCTAGTTTTCATGTTAAGTTTCCTATTTGTTTGCACTCATGCACTACTGAAAATGCCTTTACTTTAACTTACATAAAATACACTTTAAACAAAGATACAAATAATGGAAGAGGAACTGATTCAGGATAACTAAAAAACTGGTTATTTCTTGAACAGCATAAACATAACTTATTAAAATAAAAAACAATTTTCTGAATTAATTTTGACTAATTCTGTCTATTTGGGTCTGACGATGACAGCTTATTATAAGATACACTTGTAAGCCTTTTTTTCCCTTTTTCTGAAGGTCTAATGCCCTTTTAAATATTGCTTCTTATTGATTGCTGGCAAATGAAGAGTGATGATCTGGAAGTTTCCAAAGAAGTGGGCAGGAAGTTGCAAGTGCTGGATTTAGTTGGATAGATTTGAATAGCACTGGAATCTCTTACAATTTATGACCTTTGAGTTCACTCGCAGTTGAGACCACTTGTGCTCAGAAGAAGATCATTTTGCACATGTGTTCTGGATGGACAGAATCAGGAACTGATGTGTAAAACTCTGAGAGCATCAGAAACATCATCTGATACTGATGTCCTGACTAGGCTACAGAAGTAGCCCAGCAGGAGTAGGGGAAGGAGTAGGGGGAAAGTCAAGATACCTGTTAAGAGAATACAAGAGAGGGTCCGTTTTCTTCTAGGAGGTTTCTGTTGAGTGACTAGAAATACGAATTTATTAACATCTTGTTACTTTTCCTTATTGTAAAGGTCTGCCCATATCTTTAGAAGTTTTATATTCATTTTGAAGCCTTGTCTCTTCCCCCTGTTGTTTAGAGGGTGTCAATTATATATATATTTTAAAACACTAAGTCACTTTTTGTGGGTGGGGAGGGCCAGGAAAGCTTCCTCCAAAGAAGTCTGGCAACCTTGTTCCTCCTGAAGAGAAGGAAGATTTCCATTCAATCTGTTCAAGTGAATGAGCTGAATCCTGTGTCTATGCTGAAAGTTATGATGTATGTGTTAGAAGCTAGATGCATATAAATTACTGAAATTGTGGCAAGCTATTTAATCTGTGTTTATTTTCATTCACTTGTGTATTTTGATGAGCAGAGGCAGATTGTTACAGTTATTAAATAAGCAAAGATGTAGCAGCAAAGCAAAATGGTACAGGTGAGATTTTTAAACTTCATTTGAGGAATTATGGCAATTTATTACATGCATTTGTAATGTTATGCTTATTATAACAGTCTGATTTGACTCATCTAAAGGTTGAGTCACTTATTTACTCTTTTACACTACGATGAATGTATGGTAGCAAATACGGGTTTTATAATTGCTTTTATGTTATTGTCTTTAGGACCCTTACAGCTTGAATGAAATGTTATTATTTGTCATAATGTTATTATTTGTCATCTTGTGTTTTAGTCAAAGTTGTTTGATGTTATCTGGGATGAATTTCAGGAAAATATTATGCCCTTTCTTGGTATATGGAAAAGGATTTCTTAAGGCTTTGTTTAGACATTACATGGCTTTTATTTCTAAACTCGTGCATGATTTCACAAACAAAAGTTTCATGAGAAACATTAAATTATTTCTGTTAGTCTCCAAATTATGTTAGGCTTTGTTTAGGACTTACTAAGCATAGAGGCTACATTGGACAGTGGAAAGGCTCTTTTTTGAAATGGTGTATGTAAAAATTTTTAATAACAGTGAAAATAGTTCTCATAATAATCTCATTCTTTGGTCAACTGAGTCAATAAAAAGGGTAGTTTTGCTTACATAATTTATACAATTGGTAAACTAATGCAAATGGTTACCACTCTGGAACAAATATTTATAGTGAACCAGCATTCATTTTTTCAGCTGCTTATTAGAATTTTGTAGGCATTACAATTTTTTTCCAAGTAAGGAATCTAAAAATATCATAAGCTGCACATTCTTCAGTCTTATTTCTGGATGAAAGTACACAATATGGCATTTTGCATTTAATACTGTCTTGCCTAGCAGTCTGATTTTTAACTGCTGTTGTAATCTGTTCTATGTAACTTATGGCAAGTTTACATATTTTTTCATCACTGTTAATACTAAATTCTATACTAGTGAAAGGTTTAGGAGTCCTTTACAAGGAAATACCCAGTACCATGTGGTCATTGTGACAGCATATCATGGAATGGAAAAGGAAAAAAACCAAAACATCTATGTTTAGCAAAACATCTCTCCATATGTTAGTACTCAAATCTCTTGATGACGTGCTTGACTGGAAATATGTTTATTTTTATCTTAATTTAAGAGTTCATGAAATGAAAATCTGAAATTGAAGACTTCAGTCATAAATTCCTATTTTTAAAAATGAAACTGACAAGTAGACAAATTCAGGAGTGGATTTAGCAGGGAGCTGAATCCAATAGGCTGTCATCCCTGCCCTAATATCACTCACTGTGGTGTTTGTGCTCTTTTAAGTGATATTAGGGAGACAGGGCAAACTCCTACTTCGTGTTGACATTGCATCCTCTGCCCTTCAAGGAAGTTCATTGTTAATGCCTTGCTTTCCTATAGCAAACGATTTTGCTTCCCACATGAACATCTTTTGGGCTATACATCGATAAAGTCATTTGACAAATGAGTAATCTAGAGTACAAGATTTAGTTTGGTTATATAGTACATCAATAAGAGGAAAGCAGATGAAATCCAGGAATTCTAACTTGCAGTCAGCCTGATGTAGCTGTGAACAGATTCCCTAATGTTTATTCTCTTATATGATAGAATCTTCAAGTGTTGAGGATTTTAAAATAATTATTTGTTTTCACAGAAAGCTGATATTAAAAAGAACCACTCAGTAATGGAGACCTATTTCCATATACCAGATGGCAGCTACTTATTCTTAAGGTCCTCTTTTTGTGTGATAAAACAGACTAGCAAAATTGATATTTCTGGCAAGCGATTAGCCCAGTTCTTCCCAAACAGCAGCTCCATGAAATTTTGAAGATATCTCATTTTTATTAATGCTGTAATAAATTAGTGTAAACTATAATATGTTAGGGAGACACTGTGATATGTTCATAGATGGATTAACATAGGCAAATAGGGAAATGGTAGGCAAAGCAAGTAGATTTAAGTAGCTTGTTCATTTTACTCAACTCCAGTTTACTTCCATAGGTAACTGTTATGGTCCAACAACAAAAGAGATTCTTTCAAAGGGTATTCAGTGCATGCAGGTTAGTTACCTTCTCTGAACAGTTCTCCAGAGGAATCTTTTTCTGTTGTTTATGAAGATATGGAGATTATAAAGGTAGGGAGATGACCTGGCTAATTTAGCCAGCTAAGGTAGATGTCTGCATAGTGTGACATACAGCCTAAAGCTATAAGCTCTAAAAATTTTCCTTTATGTTCAGATTTGACTGAGCATGGGAAATGTAGTCTGTATCAATCACATAGACTAAATAATGAATTAAACTAAAAAAATCAATATTCATTAACAGTAGCATTCATTTGCCTTTGATACACATGAATAAGGGACTGAGATTCACAGCAACATTGTATTGAAAACCTTGTAAAATAGTTTACAGCAATATTTTTAGTAACTGATGCTTTTCTTCTGGCAGAGGGAAAAAAAAAAAAAACAGAAAAAAACCCTGTTCTTCTATTTTGGCATTTCTGTTTGACAAGCCACCTGACATTGTGGAGAAAAAAAAATACCTTTCAATTTTGGATTTAATAACACAAGAAGAAGAATTAGAGAAATGTAAGCTTGGATGTTTTTGTTCCAAAAGGTAAATTAGATAATCCTGCTAGAAGTTCTTACGCTCGTTTTTTTTTTTTCCTCTGACATATTTATTTGTTAGATTTTGAACAGTTATTTCATGTGAGCTATGCATACCTTATTCTAACTGTCAGCCTAGAGGAAAATTTTATGATCAGCTTTAAAACCTTGGAAATAGTAATAAAGAAAATAAGTAACCAGTGGCATACATATAACACAAAACATAAAGCTCGTGCTAGAGGAATTTTTTCAAAGTGAAAACAAAGCTGCCAGGAAAAGAAATGTTTGTGTGATGTATTACAGTCTGATGGGTGATCTTATAACATAGATGACATCTAATAACAATTTTAATATGAAAGACCTTTTTCTAATGAAACTAGATACATACTTTGTGCGTGAAACCAAACGTGCTTTAGACTGCATAACAGGCAATTATTGCATATTGTGTTAAGCTACACAGAATCTAGCAATCTTATGTTAACCAGGGCAGTTCAGTTTTGACATTTTATATTGCACTTCACTCTTAACCTGTAGAGTGTGCGAATTAAGGACAGATGCTTTGTTAATTTGGAACCAGTGACCAAACTCAGGGCACTTGATTTATATCATCTCTATTTGTGGGTGGCCCCTGATCTCATTCTTGGTGCTGTGTTCCTGCAAGCTGTATTTTGCCATTCCTATTGTCACTATAGAGGAATTGATTCCAGTTGGCTGCTACAGGTGCTTGTAAGACAAAAGTCTTACATCACAGGATGTCCAAGATGCTGTTAATGGACTCTTTTTAGAATATCTCACCATCTGCCACAGTACTGTAATGTTTGCTGGTTTTTCCAAATCTGAGCGATTGTCTAATTAGGATCATGGAACAAATTAAACAAAAGTTAAGGGGAGAAAAAGCAAATGGGACAGCTGAAAAGAATCACTGGCATTCCAATATACTCTTTAAATAAACACAGGCTGTGTTCCATGGTTAAATGTACCCTATTCTTGTCTTGAGCCTCAGTTTTCTGTCTGCGGTATACAGCATTTAGTCAGAGGATCATTTCTATTTTTGCCAAAACATTAAGAGAATCAAAGAGTGTTCTATCATAATGCCACTGAAAATGCAGCCTGGCTCATACCACAGCAGAGGATTATGAGCTCCAATGCAAGCAGAAGACTGGAAATGTGAATTTTCTCTCCTCTCCTATATTCTTGAAAATTGGAATATTTCATTGTGAAAAGGTTTTAAGGGAGTACTTGATAGGTGGATATTTTAAAGGACAGGTGGCATCACTTTACTCTTAATGCTGTATATTTGATGCTGAAGAGCAGGTTTGGGATTGTTTGCTTGTTTGTTGTGATAACTTAATCATACTATTCCTCTGTAGGGGGGAAGGAAATTTGTATCAGGTGAATCGAGAACCTTAGTGCTAAAGAGCAATGAGGCATGCTCTTTGGTCTGTAATTATTTAGAACCAGAGATGTGGATTTTATTGGCCAGTTTTCTGTTTCTTGGTCTATTTTTACTATCAGTGTGTTTAATTATAGTTTTTTTTATAGTACAGAAAGCTCTCTTACTACTTTGAGCTAACCAGTGCAAGGAGCCCTGGAGAGGTATTCACATGAGTCAAGTCTGGCACCTAATATAATGAGCCAAAACTAAGCTAGATAGTCTCCTTAGTTTCCCCTGAAGTCAGTGGAGATAAAAGGTAAGCTTCTCTGGAGCGCCCCAGGAGTCTAAGTTGTCTGCTTATTTCTCTCTGATGAATATAAAGGGAGCTTGGAGAACATGGCTATTAAATTCATATGCTTAAATTTGTTACAAATATTTCCTTTTCTCTCCTCTCGTGCGTAGAGACTCAGTTTATCCTGTGTTTAATATACCATCTGCAAGAGCCCCAACAACTGAAATCTGATGACTAGTAGCTGTTGTAGGACAGTAAGATATCTACCTCATATTATGAGATTAATGTCAGTATTTCCTTCATTCATGACAGGCATTGTGAAACTTGGATGTGGTTCACCTTGGCAGAACCTGTGTGTGACATCCAGCAAATTCTTTTACCTTTTCAATTTGTTTACTTGCTTTTTATTTCACTTTCTCTTGTATCTTTGGGTTGCTAAATTTTCTTATCTTTGTAAAATGCCTGGCACACTGTAGCTCTGATCTCAGTTAAGGTTGTCAGCACCGCCATTATGAAAATAATAAGGTTAATAAAAATTATATATGTATCTACAGGATACCTCTTCTTCCTAGGTTTTGGTCTGGCCTGCTGCTTAGGATATGCAAAGGTTTACTGGACTTCTGATTAGAGGGAAGGAATGTTTTCCCAGAGTCTGATACTCAGCATAAGAAAAACTACTACACCCAAGTGTAGCAGTCAATACTGGATGTTAGTTATAAGAATTGTCACTCCCTCTTTCTTTTTAATTTTTCAGGGGAAATTGCATGTGAAATTCTTGACAAGTTAGATAAATTCATAGTTCTTTTTTAGGAAGATAAGTACTCTCTGACTAATAAACATAGGCTACTTTGAGGTTGTGGATTGAGAAACAGACTGCTGTTTTGGGATGGTTATTTTTGCAGGTAGTAGAAAACTTCCATTTTTAATCAGTCTTTCAACTGCTTACACATGTACAGAATGCAAAATGTTCATATGTATAATAGCTGTGTGTCCCTGTGGCTTGGCATTTATATCACTAGAGAAAATATTTGTATATCATTATATATAAAACATTTGTATATCATATTTACTCTTAACATTTAAAGGAAAATTTAAATATATGTGGCTATTATCTGTATTACATATATGGAGTACAAAGTGAAGCACAGAGGTTAGCTGGTGCGAGTGAAGGTTCTCCGCCATGCAGTGAAACGTTGCGTATCTATACCTTATCTATCTCCATGTGACAAACCATTAACACTAGTACGAACAACAATGTGCTGCATGGTTTTTAAAAACAAACTGACACCAGCTGCTAACCTGATAACAGTACTATACATATTCCTGCTTAGATGCTGAGGAAAAATGTCTGTATTGGCATCCCACCTGAATCTTTAACCTGTTTAGTTTGTATGTGTTTGGTATATAGCTGTGTTTAAATTCATCAAAGCATGTGTATCTGTAGTCAGTATGTATCCAATAAAAGGACTGGACAAGTGTTCTTGTTCTTTGATCAGACATTGTTTTGAACTGATATTTTAAGCTTTTTAGAAGTAAAGACCACCAATTAGGGAACTCTTATGAACTGCGCAGCCAGCTGTCGAAGAGCAGCAATCTAGACCGCCTTGTCAGCAGCACTCATTACTGAATATGGATGTTAGTATACAACACTAATCATGCTCTGTATCCTTTCCTAACATACAAGTTGCCTGCGTGCCACGCAAATCTAGAAGAGGCAAGTTTGGCATGAGCAATTCCACATGATAAATAGGGAAGATGGGCATCTAAAGCATGTTATAGTTACTTAAAATTCATAAGGGGACTCTATGAGGATAGTCAGGCACTGAAAGGTAAAATATCTGGCACTGAGGTCTCTGGAATTTTCTGGCACAGAAGGATTAGAACACAAAATTTGTAGCTCTGGGTGAACAGTTTTTCTAGCAAACTGCCTGGCACTGGGGTGAAAAATTAAGTTCAGTAGGAAAGTTGAGAGTGTTTATGAACAGCTTATAAATGGGAAAGTATTGTCCAGATTTCTACATCAATGATTTTTGTTTAGGTAGTTTTTAGTGTTTAACTTATATTTAAGATACTATAATGTTAAACAGTGAAAAAAGTTTTAAAACTGAAGTGATGAATTAATATATAATTTTTATAGGTCTTTGTACTAAGTTAATGCAGAACAGTGATAAAACCAGATTTCAAAGGACAAGCATTCGCTCTCTATAGTCAAATAGTTAGAATGCATGTTGTTAACACATACTGAAACAGCATCATGCTCCTGTAGAGATGTTTCTGAAATACGTACAATGCCAATATTAAGGTACATCAGCACAAATATGTTTTTAGACAGATTTTATCTGATTTTAATACTTCTGTCTCTGGGCTGTAGGGTAAATGTTCAGCAGTGTTTTTTGACACTATTACTGATATGATGAACGGAAAAATAGTGATGCAGAATGATTTTTGTTATCTGTCGCCATTATTCTTGTTTCTCACCTTCAGCGACAATAGGCATATGTTCTTCGTATTCATGGATCTTCTGAAACTTTCTACTATTACAGTAATTTCTTACATATCAGAAATTACAAAACTTAAATCACTTGCATGTGCAAGCTTTGAAGTTTTTATTTACTGGTGAAAGAAGACTTGTTGAATTTTCTTAGAACAGCACATACTTACTGTACCATTATTGAACTCCTGAGCTCTTTACTGTATCTTTATGTCCCAGCTCAGTATATGTTACAATATAAGGCCAGGTCGTTCTAGAGAGTGTTAAAAGGCATTTTTGGGAAGGGAGAGGATAAATCCAGTGTGTGGGCACAGCTACAACGTTTCAGGTGGTGCATTTTACTCTATTATAGTGTACTCTTTTCAGTTCTGTGCCTCTGAGCAGAGGGTAAGTGGTACTTTATCTTCCTGAGGTTTTTAGATATTGGTGACTGTAGAGCAATTTAAGCACACTTGAGGTTTAGGGAGAAGGCTTATTGCACAGTTCTGCATTCATGTAGGCTCTCATTATACTATTCTCATATATGGACAGTTTATGTATACTGAAGTAGAGACTCTGCTTTGCAGGTTTGCACTGTCCAGACAAATTTAACAAGGAATGGGAAAAAGCTAATTATGGATTTGAGATTTGAACCTTTGGGCAGAAATGTAACAGTAAAACATGATTCCCCAAAAAAACCCCCCCCCGCTCTATTTGTAAATAAAGTGGATTTGTCTTTCAGAACATTTTCAGGAAATGATTAAATTAAAAAACGTAGCTAGTTTCACTGCTCTATTTTCAGATCTTTGGGTTTCTGATATGTGTGGACATTATTCTGGCCATAGGAAATTCCTATCAGCATGTTCAGGCACCTATCAGAATTTCCCTTTATTGGAATAAAGTTAAGAACAGTTCTATGTTTTCAGGATTTTTAACATTTTGGTCATACGTTATCATACTCAACACAGTTGTGCTTATTTCTTTGTATGTGAGGTAAGAGAAGAGAGATGTTCAGAAATGAAATCTTTACACGTTCACTCTTTCAGCACTTGAATTTGAATAATTTTCACTGAATTATATTAACATATTTATTTCTTCTTCCTCCTCTCTCCATAGATGTCTGAGAATGGCTGGGCTTCTTTGTTGTTCCATACTTTTAAAGAAATAATAATCACCTCCAGAATATTTCTCTAGGCATTTGTTCCTCAGTATGTCTAGTGGGTACATGTTTTCTCTTCCATAATTATCTTCCAACAAGTGTCTTGTTCTATATTCCCTCCTTGGCTATATAAAGGACTATGTGTGTACCAAAGTTTCATTCAGGGAATATGAACAGTTACTACAAATTTTGTAATTAATAATGGTGAAGCTGTGGTAATATTATGGTGAAAGTATGATACTACAAATCCTAAATAGCAGTGCAGTTAGATAGCTAAGTGCATATGTGTCAGTTTGAAGTCTGACCTTCTGAAAAATCAGGCCTCTACATGAAGAGTAAAAGGAGTGGCTTTACTTAATCTGTTGGTAGAACCCTATGAATATTTGAAGAGAAGATAAACTCAGGATGGTCCTGTTACCTGTGTTAACATGGTACTGAGATAATTGACACTTCAGTCTGGTTTTTTTATATTTGATTGCACTCTCATTTTGCTTCAGAGATTGAATACACAGTTTATTGTACTTAGGAAAATAGAGGAATACTCCTTCTATATATTATACTCCATGTAAGATTTAGAGTTTGAATTTCCTGTTATGTTTATACCTTTTGTTCCAAACCCTAAACACTAATACAGTTGTTATTATGCACTTGATTATTTTCATTGAATTGTTTTTAAGATTTTGAAGAGTGTTTTTGTGGGTCTTCTGCTTTGACTCAGCCACTTCATAAATTGTGATCACAATATGTGTATTACTCCATGAAAGACATACCTGCTGAAGTGTGAACTACAGCACTCGATGAAGAATTAGGACAAACTGAATATTTTTTCTTAGGCAAAACAGGGACTCTTACTCAAAATATCGCGATATTTAACAGATGCTCCATTAATGGCAGATATATGGCAAGTCAATTAGTGCTGATGTTTTACCAGCTGTTCCAGAAATAGTATTGTGTTTCTACTTGTGATTTTGAATTTTACTTATATACTGTGTTTTTATTCTTGTTGCAGGGAATATTTGTTTCTTCTTTGTCTACTTAAATCTGAAAAAAATTCCACAAGAGACAGGTATTCATAAAACTATAGAATTGGAGTTTTGTTTCATACTTGTGTTTTGTAGGTGAATTATATGATGAGCTTGGCCAGAATGCAGAAATTAATGAGGTATATGTAGAATGATATTTAGAAATGACAATATTTTTTAGTAAATATTACGCTGTAATATAAACATTTAATCTTTAAAAATTCAATGACTAATAGCAAATTTTATAACTTTTTTTTCCTGAATGTAATTCCTTTCAAGCATAATACAGGATAGCTTATAATAAAATTATTAAATAATTCTTCCAGAATAGTAACTGATGTATTAGCTTTTCTGAGAATGCTCTTTCCAGGTGAGCTATTTCAGTACATTCTGATTGGACATAAGAGAAAAGAGATGTTAAGATTTATGGCAGGCTAATCACACACCACTCAGTACAAACACTGCTATTTCAGATTACTTAAATTATCTGCTCATTATTTTACTTCATTATCAAAATAAAAACAAAAACACTATGTAGAATGATTATTAAGATAAGCCTACAGGTGTGAGCCCCGTAGGACCCCAGAAATGAGGATACTAATTTCAAAAGTGCTGAAGTTGCATTATGCATTATTATTATTATCAAAAAGTTCGGCTATTCTGCCTTGGTCTTGCATCATGCAAGTCAGCTGGAGGCAGTCCTTTGTAAACTACTATATAAGGGACAAAACTCAGGTGGCCCATTTTAGTTTCATTATTCATCATGTTTGTTTTACTGGAAAAAAAAATCTGGAGAAGTAACAATGTTTATGCAAGTGATTTCATCTTCCTTTAGTTACATGAGATGGAACTAGAGTAATTATATAACAAGATTTAGTATTGTTTTGTATTACAAGATTTTTCATGCTGTATTAGTGCAACTTTGTGTGCTTGTGAAGTTAGGAGACTCACTAACTTGATTCATTGTTTTCTTCATCCCTTGTAACATTGGTATGTCATCCCTGGGTAGAAGTCCATTCTTATTCTTGATTTCTTCTCTATTAAATGTAATTGAAAATATGCTATATTTTTAGTTTTGAAAATACCAGGATTTATTCCTTTTATCATAGTGACATTACAGCAAATTAGACAAGATAGAATTACAATATTACAGTTACTTCTTATAGGTTATTTTTGTTTCTTTCTCTTTCTTTAATTTGTCATACAATTACATAAAATATTAATGTAATTACCAAAAGGTTTAATAATTTTAAAACTTTTTTTGAATTATGTATCTGTTTTTACTTCTCTTACAGAAGACTGTGCCCATGAATTTCTCATTGAACTCGCTCACAGGTAGCAAGTTTAGATTTTATGACCACAGCCTGATTGAATCCATTCAGGTAGGAAACCTGTCAGTTCATGAATTCTTTAGGCTGCTTTCCTCTGCCATACAGTTATTTCTTAAGAATACAATGAAGGTAAATTGATGGGAAAAAATGATCTTTTATGGAAATGAAATACAAGGGGGAGGAGGGGGAAATGCAGCAGGAAAACAATTTTTAATATACCTTTTTTTCCAGAGGAAGAGGTAAATCTAGAATGTGCCATAAAGATGAGGATATAGCTGTAATAAGATGGAGAGCCTGCATTTCAGCCCACAGAGATTATCTTGAACACAAATTAAGTAATTGTAAACATAGAGAGCAGTTTCACCTACATATATTTTATTTTATGTACAGTTACATGTGTAAATGCCTTTTCATACTTGAAGTTGTCTACATACCAGTTGTAAAGACAAAGTTCTGTGAATTCCTTGTTAGTACACACTGTGTACATATGGTGGTTCACTTGTGCCAGGTATCCCGTAACTCTGTTAATCAGTTTTGCATGGACTATTGAAAGTGTATACAACTGCAAGTGCCAGATTAAAGAAGAGGATTTCTATTTAAATTTGTTTGTTATTAAAATTTGCAAAAGGAAAGGAAGTATGTTTATTTTATCTCTTTGGTATTTTAAATGTCTTTATTTTCACTTGATCATTGTGCCTTTTAGTACAGATTAAGCTATTTTCCCAGTGGAATATGCAGAATATATTTCGAGTGGGCTGGACATCTTGTTTGTGAGAAAACAAATTATAAATAGTTCTAGACCTAGTATTACAGGTACTATTTCCAGGTTTCAAACTGTTACAATTATAAAATACATAAAAGAGAAAACTCTAAACTGTCTTGAAAAACCATGCTTTGTAGTAAGAATGTTTTCTTTTTATTTTTAAGTCCTTTTATTTGCAATTATCCTTTTCAGGTCCAGAATTTGGACTACTTCATAGTCTGTTATGTAACAGAAATCTTTCAAAAGGTATTATTACTTTGAACCATTTTGTCAAAGATGTAGACAAAGACCAAGCCAAACCAAGCCCTGTAATTTTGTCCATTACAGATATGGAATAATTGATGGCTTTTGTCAATAACCCATATGGAGAGAAAGGAGAGAAGTGTAGTGGAAGTGGTATATAATATGGAAGCAGGCAAATAGAATGATGGCAGCAAATGTTATCCTAATTCCACAGTCTTTTTACTTCATGTCATGGAAGTTCAGCTTTCCTATTTAGCTAGTCATATCCTATGCTTATTAGGCCCTGATAGCTGCACTAACTTTGATTATTTTCTTGTTGTAGCAAAGACTTTAGTGAACGTCCTGCATGTGTGTAAGTACAGAAAATAAAATTCTGTGCAGGAAAGCTGTTTGGGGAGTGTCAGCGTCTCAGTTGTTTGTCTCCTGGTTGTACACGTTATCACTCGATTTACAAGTTAATGCATCTGAGTAGGTGCCAGAAATAAACAGCATTTGAATTTTCAACTCCGAGTTGTTAAACAATGGTCCAATTGGCTTCTTAATGAGTATGATCTCTGTTAGGTAGAATTTCTAATTTTTTTGCTTACGTAAATTGTTTTGGGTTACATTGCTGCTGTGGTAGAATTGGAAGGAAATGATAAACATAATGATTATGAAATGTGACAAGTTTTGACTAGTACTTTTGTGTATCTGCTTTGAGACATCATCTCATAACCTGTATTATCTTACTTTGTTTTGCTCTCATACACATTTTTCAACTTCAAATGCTATAAAATGTTTAATTCATAGTGAAAAACCCCAAACAAACAAAATGGCCACCTATCATTTGATGATTTGGAAGTTGTTCATGGTCAGTATAAGTACCTAGCTATAAAAAAAACTATGCATTTTTCGTCAAGAGTATTGAATAATTATTAAAAAAAAAAAAAGAAGAAAGTATCTGGTTAGTGCTAGTTGACTTGAGTGCTGCAGACTGCTTTCTCAAATAAACTTTTTAAAGCTGCTCTCTATTCACAACCTTTCCTATTTCACAAATTTGACTCAGAAAGCAGTAGTAAATCAGAGAAGTTTGTTCAGTCTCCATAATGTTTAACACCACCACCCCAAGATGTGAGGAAGGTGCTACGTCTTACCTGAAACTGGACTGAGACCCTACCTAGTCATAGGCCACATGCCACACTCCTATTTAAAGCAGTGATCTGGAGTTATAAAACAGTTTATCCTTTACACGCTCTGTCTGTCGTTCACTGAGGAAACTGTAGTCTACTTACTTCATAACTCATCTTTTCAATGAGCTTTTTTTTAAGAGGAGAAACAACAGCTAAATTAAAAAAGTTAGGACGCCTAAACACTATGTAAATTTAGTGGAACTGAAAATGTAATTGATTTCTCTGCTAATTCTTTTGAAAGAGTGATGTAGAGGAACCTTAGAACTAATGATAATACGATTTTCTTGTTAAAATATTTTTATTTGTGGTTGGTCAGTAAGCAGCCTTTCCCCCCCTATTTCATACTGCAGCTCCCAGCAGTGTTGCATGTGCGAAGTAAAAGCTCATCCTCTCAGATCTGTGCTACTAATCTGAAGATCTGTGGATTTACTAGGCATGCAAAAACTGAATTTTCCCAGGTGATCCCTCAGATCTCTGAATTGGAGTCATATAAACAACACCATTGTTTTCCACTTGTTGCATTCTTGCCATGTGAAGTGTAGTTGCTATTTTTCAGTAAGGCTTTGAGCAGTGGTTTAGCAGAGTTTGTGATAGCAAATGTTCTTCTCCAGTTTGCCCTTAGTCGTTTTATTAAGTGGAATTCTCTAATACCCTGGACTGAACTGTTATCAGTTTGTCAAATTTGGAAGAATTTTGTAACAAGCTGCAGAGATCTTAGCACTGAATTACTTAAGTAATGGACCTCTTCATCTTTGCTTATTTCACCATTTTTTACTGTCTTGAAGGTAGTTTTGCGTTTCATTTAATAATATTTTTCTGTACTTTTGTGTTGTAGTCTCAGAATGCAAGACTTAACTAGAAGATGAGAAAAAGTTATTAGACACGTTTTCCCCATTTGAAACTTGTTTTTTTTCCACCAAACAGCTGCTGTGTTTGTCTTTATAATGAACAAACTTTAATTCTGAGTGTCTGTTTATGAGCTAGATTTCATGAGTCTTTTTGTCCTTTAAAAAAAAAAAGACTTTTAAGAGCTGTAAATATTTTTTTTGCTTAATTACAGGTTGATTTAGGCAGAATTTAAGTATTAATATTTCCACTGTGTGTAACAGTACACAATATTCTTAAGTTTAACTTGAAGCATCCAAGATTTTTTTTATCCTATACAGGCTCCCATTTCCATAATAGTTATTATTTTGTATTACTAGAACTATATATAGTTTGAAATCTAGCCGTGGATATTTCTTGTACATTTTCATCCTAAATGGCAGGGATTTTTCATATTGCGGTTATTTTTTTATTTTAAATGGTAATTTCAAAATTCTTTATAGCAGCTACTACATAACCCTCCTAAAGTTTAATAATCATATGAGAAATCTTTGAAAAGGTAGTTCTGAAGTCTTCTCTTGAATCTGAATATTCCTCTGTCCAAGTATATCTAAAACTTTGGGGTTCTGATTAAGAGTCAATGGATAGAAAATGAACCCTTGTTTAGTACAGGCTTCCTTTTATCCTCCACATTATCCTATTGCTATCTGTGATTTACCATTCACAGTAGAAGCTTCTCAGGTGTCCGGTATCTAAGAACTTAAATGTCAGAGCAGGCAAAACTTTGGCCTCTATGCCAACCAAATCTGCCTCTGTCAGTAGACAGTAGCAACAGTTTTTAGGATCAATGCAACATTATTATGTTGTGGTTAAACAGCATCAGAGATTTTGCAAGACAAGCAACTTGATGAGCTTATGAGAGAGAAGACTTTAAAAAAAAATTTTAAGATAAAACTATTTCCCCATCTGTTTCTGTCTTTTTAAGAAGTCACTGCAATTTCGAAGGGCAATTCAACCTTTAGCAGAGGGTAACTGCCATAAAATACTATTTGGTACTGTTTTACTCTTCAGTTAGTTAATGCAGATTCATGGATTCAGTATTTACAATGCCTTCTTTTTCTTGTAGATGAACTGATTTGCCAAGTGTAGTCACCAGATGAAGGTGCTCTGGTAACTGCCACCAGAAACTTTGGATTTGTCTTAGAGTCTCAGACCTCCTAGACCATCACTGTGGAGGAAATGGGAAACCTTGTTACATATCAGCTTTTAGCAATTTTGGATTTTAGCAATATCAGGAAAAGGATATCTGTAAAGGATACAGCATATAACTCCCTCCTGCCCTGTATTAAGAAAAACCCTCCTATATAAAGGTAGTAATTTCTCTTCATGTTTTATGTTCCCATGAGAGCTGGACGGAGCTCTGCTTCAGAGAGAGTATAAGTGTTCTGAAATGTGACTTTTTACTTATTTGGAATGACAGCTAAATTTTCCAAATTTATGTGCGACTTCTTTGAGAGGCTGAACTCTAGGGCATCCCAACAGCAGGCATAGTGTTCAGTCCCATGAGCACTGGTTGACTAAAGAGAGCGTGAGGACTGAGCTGGAAGGAAACATGTGTTGGTGCTAAAAGCTTACATGGCTGCTCTTGTCATTTCGTTTGTATTAATGTATTTAATGTGTTAATCCATGTTAGTGCATCTCTGATGGTTTGCAGGTAGGAGTGGCAAAGATTCATTTCATTTGTGTGATCATTTTTGGTTCCCAAAACAACCTGGTTGTACCCCAGTTACCTATCTGCACCCGCTTTGTGGGTCAGAAATGTTAAGAGCTTTATTTTGAGGAAATATATATTTTAAGGGAGAATCATTGCAGCGATTATGCAAGATAAATTGATTGCTCTTCATAATGAAAAAAAACTTTTTTAGATATCAAAAAGCACACAAGATTTGAATAGATGACAAACCCCGGTTGTTTCATGGAAGCCCACATAGAGAACGAAATAATGAGGTACTACATTTTGGTTTCAGAAAATAACCACTGTACTAGTAATCTTTGAGAAGAACTAAAAAAGAAGAACTAAAAAAGTCTTGGAGTTGTTGCATCAGCCTTGCCTCAGAACATTTCTCTGGAAAGCATTTTAGAAAGTGAAAGCTCCATTTACAAGAAAAAACAAAACTCATAATTCCAAAATTATTCACCTGATCAGGAGGAAGTTGTCGATGAGGCCTTCTACAGACAGCTGGAAGTAGCCTCACGATCACAGGCCCTGGTTCTCATGGGAGACTTCAACCACCCTGACATCTG